CTCGGCCTCCCAAAGTGCTGGGATTACAGGTTTGAGCCACCACGCCCAGCCGAATTTTTGTATTTTTAGTAGAGACGCGGTTTCACTGCGTTGGCCAGGCTAGTCTCAATCTCCTGACCTCGTAATCTGCCCACCTCGGCCTCCCAAAGTGCCGGGATTTCAGGCACGAGTCGCCGCGCCTGGCCATCTATTTTAATTTTTTAATGTTTTCTTCTGATGTTGGTTAGTAAATAGACATAATGTAAATATGTGTTCGTTAGGGGAAACTAATCTGCTGTGAGAATTTAGCAGACCCCAAAATAGAGTGGCTTAAAAGTATGGGAATTTGATTCTATTCTTGAAGGCAATGAAAAAAGAAAAACACATACATACATGCACACACACATATATATATGGGTGTGTTATGTATATGGGAATTTATATGGGAATTTGTATTTCTGTTATGTAATGGTTGCAAGATGGGCATTTCAGGCTAGCAGTTTTGTTCCCCACAGTCATTCGGGGCCCCAGCTCTCCAGGCCACTCTGGTTGTCACCATTCCTGCCATTGCAAGGTGGTGGAAAAACCAAAGTCCAGAGCCGGGACCTCCTCTCAGGCAGTGAGACAGAAGTTGCACACAGGCTTCCAGTCAGTTCCGTAGGAAGGGGTTGTCACCAGTGGCCCACGTGGGTCTGAGGGGGACCTGGGAGCTCCTTTTTTCCGGAGCTACAAGCCCACTGAAGGGGAGGAGAGATGTTGGTAGACGGATCTTTGTCTCTGCCAGAGTTGGCCCACGGGAACTGCCGTGACATCCCGGCTGGACCCTGCATCCTCCTCAAGTCTGCAGTCCCTGGCTGATGTGTGGCCCTCTCCAGCAGCCCACGGGACCTGTGGCCCAGAAGGCCAGCGTCTTCCTCACGTTAGCCTGTCACCCCCAGCATGAAACGGTGGAGGAGAAACAAGACACACATAGGGGAAGTGCCCATGTGGAAAAGGGAGACACACGGCAGTCGCCGGCCCCATTTCTTAGCATGCCTGGCCACACTGGTTCTGCCTTTGAAGGAATTTCTTGATCAGCTGACCCCACAGCCCCTCAGAGGTCCGCCGTCATCTATGGCCACATCTGAAGGGGGCTCAGAGCATGCCCTCCTCAGAGCCTGCGCAGCTTTTTCGAGCAGCTTCTTCCAGGTATCTCTTGGCCAGCCTGGCGGTTGTAGTGGGGATTGGTCACAGGTGTTTTTCAGATCAGACTTGATGTCTTTGACAAGGCAGTTGCCTCAGTCGCAGTCTCTTTTCAGTTCATTTCCCCTTGGTCTGTGTGTCAGCGACCAGAGTTCCTCCCTGAACTCAACTCAGTTCTTGTTCCTGCCTTACTGCTTTTGCTTCTTTGGGTGTGTGTGTCTGTGTGTATCTGTGTGTATCTGTGTGTGTCTGTGTATGTATGTCTCTTCCTTTCTCCCCCCTCTGTCACTGTAATGACCAGTCATCTGAAACAACAGATTTAGGCGTGAGAGAAGCACCTTTGATCTGATCTTCGCTGCAGGGCTGTTCTATGGCGCCTTCGTTGCTATTCTTAGTCTTGTCTATTTTAGGGTCCAAAAGCAGTTGACGTTTCTGGTTCTGTGAAGTCCCTACCTTTGGCCTCTTTATTCCTCTGCGTCTTTCTGCACCAGCCAGCTGACTTCCACCTGCGCACGGCCCTTCCTCTCTGCGCCTTGTTCAGACAGCGGGATAGCCAACGTGCACTACACTGACTCCTGCAGCTCCTTCTATGCGTTCTGGCACTGCTGGCCGGTGCTGTTTGCCAAGCTTAGGCAAGTGACAGCTGTACCCAGCGCTTTGCCATAGCTAACAGGGATCACCAGCTTTCCAGCTGCCAGTATCTACTTTGACAACACCCACCCCTGCCTCCCAAGTCAGTGCCACATATGGTCAGTTTTATTTTTTATTATTTATTTATTTATTTATTTTGAGACAGGGTCTGGCTTTGTCGCCCAGGCTGGAGTACAGTGGTGGGATCTCAAGTCACTGTAACCTCTGCCTCCCAGGTTCAAGCAGTTCTGCTTCAGCCTCCCATGTAGCTGGGACCATAGGCACGTGCCACCATGCCCGGCTAATTTTTGTATTTTTGGTGGAGACAGGATTTGGCCATGTTTCCCGGGCTGATCTTGAACTCTTGGGCTCAAGCAGTCTGCCTGCCTCAGCCTCCCAAAGTACTGTGATTGCAGGTGTGAGCTGCCACACCTGGCCCAATATGGTGCATTTTCATTTGGGAAGCACCACACACCAAGAGACCTCTGGTACTGCTACGATCGTATCATCTTGTTTTCACTTCAAACCCTTTTTCCCCATTGGGCTTCCAATGCAGATGGTTGAGTCAGTCATAATCTCTTTTTTTTTTTTTTTTGAGACAGAGTTTCACTCTTGTCTCCCAGGCTAGAGTGCAATGGTGTGATCTGGGCTCACTGCAACCTCCGTCTCCCAGGTTCAAGCGATTCTCATGCCTCAGCCTCCTGAGTAGCTAGGATTACAGACATATGCCACCATGCCTAGCTAATTTTTGTATTTTTGGTAGAGATGGGGTTTCACTGTGTTAGCCAGGCTGGTCTCTAACTCCTGAGCTCAGGTGATCTGCCCTCCT